CATGCCTGTGGCTTCCAGCCAAACAATAGACAGGCATATGAGTTGAACATTTACCTGAGGTAGATACACTCCTTGGAGAGAACAAGCATGGGAGAAAGAAGGGCTGCTTATGCACAGGGAGACAGCTCAGGGGACAGGAGTGCATGAAAGGATGGACACAGGGAAGAGGTAACTATCGGGAGGAAGTAGGAGGGGAGCTGTTGCATTGTGGTAAACGTCATGAGACAAAGTGTATGTGAACTGCTGTAGGCAAGTGTATTTGCTCTGTAAATTTTCAGCCAAATCACAATAATAATAATAAAAAAAGTCCTCTAAGATCAGGAACAAGAAAAAGGATGTACACTCATTTCTATTCAACATTGTGCTAAAAATTCCAACCAAAGCAAATAGGCAAGGAAAATAAATTTTAAAAACATCGGAAAGGAAGAAAATGGTCTGTTTGCATATGACATGATCTTGTATGTAATGAATCCTAAGGACTCTAAAATAAAAAGAAGACAAAGTATTAGAACTAATAAATGAGGCACCTCAGAAAATTAAACATAAAATTACCATGTGACTCTAGGTATATACCCAAAAGAAGTGAAAGGAATGAAAACAGACACTTGTACACCAATGTCCACTCCAGCAGTATTCATAATAGCCAAAAGGTGGAAACAACATAAATGCTCATCAAAAGATGAATGGATAAACAAAATGTAGTATATACATACAATGGAATATTAACAAGTCATAAAGAGAAATGAAGTCCTGATACATGCTACAACAAAGATGAACCTCAAAAACATATGCTGAATACAATAAATCACAAAAGGACATATAATGTAAGATCCCACTTACATGGAATATTTAGAATAGGAAAATGGATAGAGACCAAAGTGCATTAACGGTTATCAGGGATGACAGGAAGGGCGAAGCGGGGCTCACTGCTCAGGAGGCAATGAGTTGGTTAAGGGTGATGGAAAACAAAGAGCGCTGATGGTTGTCCAACATGATGAACTGTACACATAAAAATGTTGAAATGGAAAAGTATTTTGATATATAAACCCACCAGCTACTCCTCCGAAGAAAGACTGGACTATCTACTTCTGTAGAGATACCACCTTAGAAAATGAGGAGGGGTCACTATGAGTCAGAACTGCCTCAATGGTTTCTGGTATGTTAATATGACAATAAAAGATATATATTCCCACAATATTAAAACAACATAAAACACTTTAACATTTGATTCAGTTGGATCCAAGCTATCAGAAATTAAAATTTCAATGTAAAATGTTAGTTTGAAGTATATAAATGCTTACATGTAGTGCTTTAGCAATCATTTCTCCACCATCGGGCCCAATATCATTAAACATGAGGTTTAAGTAAGTCAGATAAAGTTGTTTCTAGAATAAGGAGAGAAACTATTATAAATGTGATATAGGAAACTGATCAGTAATATATATTTCAGAACTACTTTAAATAAAAGCTTTTACCTCCAAAGAAAATGTTCTTTAAAACCCAGAAAAACTTAAAGTGCAGCAAAAGCAACCGTTAGGAGCCACTGAGTTGGTTCTGACTAATAATGACCCTATGCACAACAGAACAAAAACACTGCCTGGTCCTGCACCATCCTCACAATCCTTGCTATGTTTGCGCCCATTGTTGCAGTCTCTTGTGTCAACCCATCTCACTGAGGGTCTTCCACTTTTTTGCTGATCCTCTACTTTTTCAAGCATGATGTCCTTTCTCCAGGGACTGGGGCCTCCTGATAGCATGTCCAAAGTACATAAGATGAAGTCTCACAATCCTTGCTTCTAAGGAACATTCTGGATATACTTCCTCCAAGACAGATGTGTTCTTTCTAGTGGCAGTCCATGGTATATTCAGTATTCATCGCCAATACCATACATTGTTAATTCTTCTTCAGTCTTCCTTTTTCATTGTCCAGCTTTTGCATGCGCATGAGATGATTAAAAATACCATGGCTTGGGCCAGATGCACCTGACCTCAAAGTAACATCTATGCTTTTTAACATTTTAAAGAGGTCTTTTTCAGCAGATTTGCCCAAGGCAATATATCATTTGATTTCTTGACTGTTCCTTCCATGGACGTTGATTGTGGATCCAAGTAAAATGAAATCCTTGACAATTTCAATCTTTTCTGCATTTATCCTGATGTTGTTTATGGGTCTAGTTGTGAGGATTTTTGTATTCTTTATGTTGTGGTATAATCCATACTGAAGACTGTAGTCTTTGATCTTCATCAATAAGTGCTTCAAGTTCTCTTCACTTTCAGCAAGCAAGACTGTGTCATCTGTGTATCACAGGTTGTTAATGAATCTTCCTCCAATCCTAATGCCGCATTCTCCTTCACATAGTCTAGTTTCTCAGGTTATCTGCTTGCCATACAGATTGAATAAGTATGGTGAAAGGATACAATCCTGATACATACCTTTTCCAGTTTTAAACTACACAGTATCTCCTTATTCTGTCAGTTTGTCATACTGTGGTGGCTTGCATGTTGCTGTGAGGCTGGAAGCTATGCCACCAGTATTTTAAATACCAGCAGGGTCACTCATAGTGGACAAGTTTCAGTGGAGCTCCCAGACTAAGACAGACTAGGAAGAAGGATCTGGTGATCTACTTCTGAAAAATAATTAGCCAGTGAGACCTTATTAATAGCAGCAAAGGCAACTACCATTGAGGAAAAAAATAATAAGTCACCATTCTCATTTAAACATAATTTCAATATAAATGAAACAAAAAGACTGTATATTCAGTTTTGACCAATGAGTCAACGTATGGATATGTTTATGTATGCATTTAACTATGTACTGTACGCAGGATGACTTGGGAGCTCTAGGTACCAGCTCTATGAAACCTAACACAAATACATTTCCAGTGTTCTACAAGTGCTATAGCAAAGTGAGGACCCTTGATATTTTGCAAAAATAGTGTTTTGTGTGTGTGTCATTAGGCTAAGGAGTTTCATTCTAAACAGAGGAACTAAGAATATTTTGAGAAAAATACCTGAAGCAGTTTTGCAGCATAGTATGCTCCAACATCTCGTAAGAGGTTATATCTAATGTCCAAACCTACAAGACACAGATGAATAGAGGCTGATATTTCTTATCATGAATACTTAAAAATCAGGTCAATGAAAAGCAGAAAGTATTGATTATTAAAGAGACAAACCATCAATATATGGAGTGGTCTTTAAAATTCTGGAAAGCAGCCAGAAATCTTCACCTGTTACTCTTTCTACAGGTACTAAGCGATTGTTACCAGCAATAGTTAATGTAATTCTTTTTTCCAACCTGTTAAGATTTTTTAAAAATTAGTTAGACATAAAAACGAAACATTTTGAAATCTGAGGAAAGAAACTCAGTAAAAAATAAAAGTATTTTTTTTCTTCATGTGTATATAGTAACATCATGAATGGCATTTACCAGAATCAAGTATATATGTACCATAATATAGTAGATTTATACTAGATAACTTAAAACAATATCGAACTGAAAATGTTGCATTTCCCAGACTTTGCAAAGCACTTAATATATATCATTTAATTTCTCACAAAGAGAAATTAAAGTATTCCCACTTTATAGATAATGAAGTTTTCAATGATTTATTTGCCTAATTTCAGCCAACTCAGGAGTCAAGGAAAAACCTGGAGCCCAGGCTTATGGACTCCTAATCTAGAGATCCTCTCAATATATTACACTTCCTCTAAGACCTACCAAATGTCAGTCATCCATTTGATTTTTCTGAATCAAAGGATATGTCCATTTTATCAAGCATTTCTAAATGGCTATAAAAATCACTCAGATTTCAGAATTTTTCACACAGATGAATATCAGTGAATGCTGTTGATACAATGAAGTATTTGTCTTCCTTACCCCTTTTTACACTCTTCATCCACTTCCTGAAGTATATGCAATATAAAAGGATTAATTTTCTGGGACTTTTTCATACACAGATTATAATAATTTTCTTGAAGGCTGGCAATAGATGCTGGAGCTTTTGAAAAAAGAAACACATTACCTTTCATCACATATTAATTATTCCAGAAGACTTTTTTTTCTTTCTTTCAAAAATATTAGTTTTTTCTTTTTTTTTTTTTTCAATCAAAGATATGAGTGTGTATATACAGTGGGAGTGGAGACAGAAGGAAAAAGAATTAAGGATAAAGAAGAGAGAGAGAACTGAGGAATGGTGGTGGTGGTGGTGTCATATGACTTCTCCTTGGGTTTCCGAGGCGGTATCACTACAGAAATAGATTGCCCAACCTTCCTTCTGAGGAGTGGCTGGTGGGTTTGA